ACAATTAACACTTCCGTGTAGTCTAATCATTTTTAAAATCAGAGTTAAGACTCTTTGGGGTTAGAGAGCAAAAATCCTGAATAAATATAGTCTGTTACAGTAATACAAAGTTAATAAAATCACCAATTCCAAACATCTTATTTTATTTGTAGTTCAACAAAAAAAAAAAAAAGGTATTTCTGCATAACAAGTCATCATTGTGTCTTCAATCTCTTTCAAGCATAAATACACCAGACTGCTTTTCTCCTGTTTACAGGAGAAAACAAATAAATCTTAAAACAGGCATAAAACTAAGTACCACACAGCCATATTTTAAGAAATGGCATGACAGAAAAAGGAAACGTTAAAAAGAAGAAATTGGGTAATGCCACAAACGACACACAAAAGCAACCTGCATATGATACAAGGTATTATGTAGCTAGCTTCCTAGAAAAGAAGGTAAGGAGCCAAAAAGTAAGGAACACTAGCTTCAGCAAAACCTGTAAAAGAGAAGTAAAGCAAGCACAGTTCAATCAAAAAGTAATAAACGAACAGAGCAGGTAGGCAGGGGTTGAGAAGCTAAGAGCAATATAGCTTTCATCATTCAAAAAACCTACAAAATTCAAAGTCTTTCCAAACGTATTACCTTCAGAGGTATTAAGAAAATTAAAAAGTGCTTTGATTTGAAAATAAAGTTGTCCTTTTAAACACTGCCCCCTCCTGTTCAGAAATGAACGGATTTTCTTCGTTGAACTATACAGACCATACAGATAGCAACAAATGGTCACTCTCCTGTGACCTGTACATTATTTACCTTACACAGCCAATAAAAAATAATAATAATAAAAAATTAAACCAATCTCAACCACAGAACTGTCAAAACATAATATATTTAGACTAATTTTAAGATTACTCTCACCAGCAAAGCCAACTTGTGAGTGAGAACAGACAATCTGGAGCTTGAGAGCACTTACAAAGCAGCAGAAACATTGAGAAATACTGCTGCCACAGGGCTGGAAACATTCAATCACCGCTGTTTGGATAAGAAACTTGGTTTGCTAATCAGGACTTCCAAAACGTCAAAAAGACAACAGCAGCTGGCTTACCTATGTCTAAACTCTTCACCCACATATGACCTTGGACTTTCTGAAAAATTACACTACCTTTCATTTTACTATCACTAGGAATTTGCAGCAGTCCAAAATTTAAAAGGAGGTGATTCCATACCAACAGCATTCCCGTATGTAAAAGAAATTGCTGAAGTCTGTGTAGATTATAAAGTAGCATAGCTTTTGACTTCCAGGAAGCCTGTCTCCAGATTTTTTTCTGCTACAATGTGTTCCTGTTCCACTGAACCACTCACCTCCATACCTTTCATTGAAAAAAGTATTTTATGCAGTAGAGTCAAATCTTGATCTTTATGCTATAGTGAGAACAAAACTTCTGAATGTTTTCTCACAGAATGTCACAGAATGGTTCTGCTATTCCTAAGCAAAAAACTGAGGAGGAAGCTGGTTTGTTTTGATATATTAGAAAACAACTTTACAGCTCTTTGCTTAAAACCCTGAGAATTTCTATTCTTTACAGTGAAGACTTGAAAACTTGAAAAAAATGGGAGACTTTTGTCATGGTTATGGTTTTCTATTATTAATATCGTTGTGTCTTTTGAAGGTTCTGTTTTGTTTTTTATTTTCACCAAAATATCTGAATTCAGTTTTAAGGTATGATGAGAGCTGGGAAATACACACTATCCAAGGAAACACTTGCTAGTGCTTCAAGGCTAAAATCTCCAATTCAGTCAATGATGCACATGCTACACCATACCACATGTCCCAGCAGTTGGTCCTGACAAATATATCTATGTTGTTCTCACAGACCAATGGAGAATGCTCAAGCCCACTTTTTATTTATTTATTTACTGCTCACACCCATTATGCAGCAAAAAACAGGTTAGAATGAAGGTTCTGAAGGATATTACCTGGAAAATTATTTTGGTAGGAAAGTGTGGGTTGCCAAAAGAGGTAGGAGAAATTCATGTTTGGTGAGGAACTGAGCTAGTGGAGGAAGAATCTGAACTTGCTAAGTTGGGCAATTGTATCTAGAAAAAGGCAAGGTAGAAGGTAATAGACAGAGATAATCTTATATTTAAAATAATAACAACACTAAAACATTACAACTTGAGCACACACACTCTGGAATAACACAAAGGAAGGATACAATGTGGTCTAGAGTCAGAAAGTTACTTTCCATATTTTTGGATGGCCCCTAAAATTAAAAGTTTTAATATCCAACTTGACTTACTTATACTTGCATGTAACAACTGAATGAGACAAAAAAAATCTGAAAGACATCTTGATCACAGCTGCTACACAAGTTATGCTGTAGGGTGAAACTGATTCCTTCAAATTACTTGTTTATTGATTGCATTCCATACCTATGATGTTTAAACATGAAAGGTAATATGGTTCCAAAAATAAGAAACCAAGACATTCCAGATGATATCCAGTCTCATTAATGAGTTAACTAAATGGATAGGGGAAGTAGCATCCAGTAATTATTTGTAATTTATTAGAAGAATCTGCCATAATGTCTTCAGCATGTAGAATGAATAAGAAGAAAAAAATAAGAAGTTGGGAAAACACCCTGATTCTGACACACTGGACATGTTTATTTCTTGGTTATTTATGCATTAACAAGTGTTATGCCAAAATGTCTGTCTCTGTATTCTCGTATCTAAAATGTAATAGAGTTCATGATAGTCATTAACAACGACCAACATCATTTTGTCTGTTAATAATAGTCATGATACATAAAATACACCCTTTAAAAAGCATATTTGAAACTGAGTGAAACAGCATAAACCACTCCAATCCTCTGTTCAAAGACCATATAACATAATTCATGTTATATTGTGTATCCATTATCCTTCACAGGACCTGCAAAACAGAAATAGCTTGAGAACTAACATATTCCTATTATCTCTTGCACAGCCTGTAAGTGAGGTGCAAAATGATGGATGAAATCCCACTGTTTAGATGTAAAAGGGGTTTCTGTAACCAAGATAATTTGTCTCAACAATTTTCAACATTTGGGAAGACAACTAGTCCATTTAATCCAATGTTCTAGGCCAGCACATCTCTTACATCTGACAAACAATACTTCTCTTTGGATCTTCCTTAACTCATATTTTCCATATCTCCAGCTAGGCATTTTATATACACAGGGTTTTTTTTTTTTTTTTTAATGGCATTACCAAATAATCTTAGACTGCGTTCTCAGTCTCTACCTGAAATATTGCATCTAAGCCCTCAGGAACCTACAAGAATTCAGTTTGTCCAAGGGTCATTCCACTTCACTTTAATTCCAATCTTTATCCTTGCACATTGTCACATGCATAGCTCCTGTCTACAGTCAGGGAACTGAGTACTTTTTGAGGGCCTTTCAGAACACAGCATTAACCTGTTTCCTGCACCAATTTTTCACAAAACCAGGCATCCAAATCAGATGTCTCAATTAACTCACATAAACCTGTTTTTAGATCACATACTATCATAACTAACATCACAACATCTAAGACATTGTTTATAGACAGATTTCTCTGCCCAAATCCCCTCATTTTTAATCGGCTTCCACATCTAAGAAACAAGAAGAAAGAGGAAAAGCATTTGAATGCTATGAACAGCAAGCAAAGGAATGAGAAGTACCTTATAAAGTGAAGGATTACTGATAAGGTTCCCCCATCTGCTTCAGAAAAGTGAAATGATTCATATGTGAAAAGTGAAATGATTCATATGTTTACATGAACAGTTCAGTGTGGTCAGTTAATTTTTTGTATGTTTTCCTTGGCAAAGTTATGATGCATATTAATAACACAGGCTCCAACAAAATTTCACCTTGCTCCAATATACTGATACAGATGATTTATAAGTATTCATTTTACTAATTTGTTCTGAAGGCTTTTATATTTAATATTCAAATTAACAATGTCTCAAATTGACCCCTTGCAGAAAATGGCTTAGTGCAGAAACTCCCCTAGCATTCTCCATAATAATTAGCAGTACACATAGAATCATAATTACTACTGAAATGTTTCATTGCATTTAACAACCTCCTTTGCTATTTGTCTAACCTTATTTGTTTACAATGGAAAAAATTATTTTGGTCTCTTTCCATAGGCATTCACATTTTAATCTGAGCTTATACAGTAAGCAGTTTTTGTCAGCAAATATTTTAGTTTTGACCTTTTTACAATCTTTTTTTTTTTTAAAGCTAAATATTCCTACATTAGCGTTCATTCCACAGCTCCAAAAAAGCAAGTGCTATTTGAATGCAGTACAGTAAACTAAATAGTTTTGAGCTGTAGTATCTTGAATCAGGTCACAGAGTTTAGAAATAAACCAGTTTGTTCTTCTCAACTTGCAGTAGTGCAAGCAAAGTGTTAGGAAAGCCAAGGCTAACCTAAAGCTGAATATGACAGAGGATGATCAATGGGCTGGAGCACTTTTCCTATGAAGACAGGCTGAGAAAATTCAGGCTTGCTCAGCCTGAAGAACAGAAGACTCTGGAGAGACATTATAGCAGCCTTCCAATACCTAAAGGTGGCCTATGGGAAAGCTGGAGAGGGACTCCTGGTCATGGAGTGATAGGACAGGGACTAATGGCTTTAAGCTAAAAGAGGGGAGATTTAGATTAGATATAAGGAAGAACTTACTCACTGTGAGGGCGGTGAGGCACTGGAACAGATTGCCTAGAGTAGCTGTGGGTGTCCGATCCCTGGAAGTGTTTAAGGCCAGGCTGTATGGGGCTTTCAGCAACCTGGTCTGGTGGGAGGTGTCCCTGCTCATGGCAGAGGGGTTGGAACTGGATAGTCTTTAAGGTCCCTTACAACCTTAATCATCTTCATGGAATCACAGAATGGTTAAGAGACTGCAGTATCTGACACATGAGGAAAGGATAAGAGCTGACACTTTAGCCTAGAAAAAGAGAAAACTCAGGGGATTCTTACCAATGAATATAAATACCTGGTGGGAGGGAGTGAACAAGGGGGAGCCAGACCCTTTTCAGTAGCATCCATTGGATGATAAGAGGCAATGGGCAAAAGTTGAAAACCCATGGCATTGCACCTGAACACAAAATATTTTTCATCATGACAAAATGTTAAACAGTGGAACAGATTGTCCAGAGACTGTGGAGTTTCTATTTGTGGAAATACTCTAAACCCATCTGGACACAGTCCTGAGGAACCCACTTCAGGTGACCTGGCTTGAGCAGGGGAGTTGGACTAGATGAACTCAAGTGGTCCTTTTCCACCTAAGCTGTGAAATGAAGTAGTTTCTTACTTCAGTCAAAGTTTTCATCTAATATCACAACCATAAAAAAGCACTCAGAAGTTGACATGTGCAGCATGAGGAAAAGAAGATTTACCAAATCAAAGGCCAAGCCATCACAAATAAATTGCAAGAGGGGTATCATTTTATTCTTTCATCAACTGTACAGCAACTAAAAACACAAAAACATTCAATTTACTAATGATAAATTACATGCACATGCAAATGTGAAAACCACTGCAGTAACTAACCGCAGACCAACCAAAATATACATAAAGACTGGCTGTGAAACCTGTTAAGTCTGTCTTGAATATAATCGCCTTTCTGCCCTTGTCTTCTTAAGGGCTCAAAAAAGCATAAAAGCATGAAAAATATATCACAGACTAAAAAAACTCATTTGCTTCCCATTAAATGGGAAACACACAGTCATCAAAAAGCTAAAGATGTTAACTTCTAAAAACAAGATGTGAATTGCTAAAAACAAACTTCTTTGTTTTAATTTAATTCTAACATGCATGCATGCCCTGATATTCGTGTCTACTTCCTTTCCATGAACATTCAACTAGATAACTCTGAAGAGAGAAGGATGCTTCAGGGCAGTAAACATCGAAATGACTAGATTGGAAACTTGCAATGAAAACTGGTTCAGTAAAACCAATGGAGGAAAATGAGTTATCAATCTGTTTAAAGCAAAATGCAAGGAACCCCACCAATGCTGGCTCCTTTGTGGCAAATAGGAGCACAGCAGTCTACTATTGCCACTGTTGATCACCTTACAAGGTGCTGATATCATTTCTGCCTCCCAATTTTTCTGTATGTTTTTGAATTAAACTTGTTTTCTATCTTCCAGTTTAACTTAACTGACATCAAAATAACATACCTTGATATTACTACATGACTTATAACAAGATGAGTGGAATAAAGGAACAATAACACAAGCTACTGAAATTACAATACCTGTTATTGAACAGTACACTATGTGAGGAGCAATCTTTTTAATGTCTTCATAACCTAGACCAATTTCAGCCAGTTTCCCAGGGACGTAGTTTTCCACAAAAACATCAGACACAGCTGCAAGCTTTAGAAAAGAAGAGTAAGATTTGTTAATGAGCTTCCAAAAGTTCAATAAATTCTTCATATAACTTGACATCTCACTAATCAAGATGGTTCTTGTCTTTCTGACAGAACAGAATTCAAACCTAAAGAGATTTTTTTGGTCTGTTAGACTGTGCATGTCTGCAAACTACACATTAGGGACGCTGTATCTAGAAAAAAAACTACCAAAATCCTAAAGCTTTTAGATGAAACTGCAACAATATTAGCAGAATCACATTAATTTCCAAATACTTGACCAAAATTTACAGAACAGTCACCAACTTTATACCTTCAGTTAGCTTGAGGAAAGAAGGGGAAAAGAATGCATGTTTATTTTTCATGTTTTCTCTACCTTATAGTTTTGTAAAACGTTGGGGGGGACGACGACACACACCTTTATTTTGTTGTTTATTTTTACATTTTAAAATGATTCATTACACTTACTGGAACAGAGGCTATATATCCCACTTTCTGTATGTAGAAACAAAATACATAGCCCAAAAATGTTATGGGGTTAACATGAACATCTTAAAATCACCTCAACTAGAACAGTGATATCAAACTCTGCAGCATGATTTTCCGCATCACATTTAAATGAATGATCTAGTGCAAAATCTAGTGAAGTTACAGATTAACATATGGCCTTGATAGGCTTTAAGTTGCATCTTTTTATTCTTATAGAAATTATGAACAGAAATATGTATACAAGTTTAAATATAATATTGCACACTTCTGAAGCTTAAGAACTACACATTAACAGATATAAGTAGTGCTTGGCAGAGTTGCATAGTTTCGGAGTTTTTCCCCTGTTTGGTTGTGGGTTGTTTTCTTTTGTTTCTTTTATAGGAATTTAAAAGTTATTCCCTGAAAGAAACATGCCTGTGCACACATCTTTAAGCATGATCTAAAACATTTCATTTCTTAATGTTATTTCAAGACCATCAGAGTCACATTTTCTGGAACTACCATGCAGCTGTCTGATCAATATATACAGCACATTGGGCCAGCTTCTATAAATTAGTGTCATCGTATCAGCAATCATAAGCATTTTTGTTCTAGTGTGTACACTGTTTAGCTGAATCTCAGGCCAAAGAAACAGCTAAGCCAATAAATATTTAACAGGAAAGACAAACTGATTCTTATTCAGTCAAGAAGGCATGCAAATTATGAATGGTTTAACTGGAAGCATGGATGAAACATTAGTAAAATTTACAGAAATTAAGTTCAGCATAAGGTAAAAGTGGATTTTAAAATGCATGCTGTAAGCTATTTCAAGGGGCTGTGTCAAGAACTGCTAGGACCACTAGTTTTAAACCATTACAATATGAGTCTCCATATTCTAAATAAGTATTGCTGGATTTCTATGTGGACAAATGGCTCTTTTTTTTTTTTAAAAAAAAAAAAAAAAAAAAAAACACTATTCAATAGAAGTGGCCTCCATAGAAGGGCATAAGTTTACAACAGTTAATAAAAAAGCAGGCATTTGTCACAGGACAGTTCTCAAGAAGATAAGGTTTCCACAGAGCTCAAACATTGCCTAGTAAAAACAGAAGCAGCTCAGACAGATCTATGACTGTCCCAATCCTCTGTGCAGGACAGCAGATCCAACCACAGAAGTAAATTAAGGGCAATGCAGTGGGGGAAGCTGTTAGTTGTTTAATGTCATGCCTTTATGAAAAAGAGAGCCAAGGGGGGTTTATTTTCTCTCTAAATCTTTCACAGTCCATACATTAAATACTTTTCCAATTGGCAAAACTACAACCTTAGCTAAATTAATCCAAGAAAAGCAATCAGTTACAACTTGCGTACTGTTTTAACTATACTTTGTAATCTATCAAATGTACAGCAATGGTATAGGCTAGTTTGAGATCCATTGCCCATCTCATACTGAAGAACTATCTCCTACAATTCACTAAGGGGGAAAAAAAAAGATGGCTAAAAAAAAAAATAGAGTTCAATACCTCTGGATATGGCAACATATATGGTTGATTACAATGTGAAGTGAAGATACAATGATTTAGGACCAGTCTAGCAGTGTGTATATATATTCTTACAGAGATGAACATAATGTTATAGATATCTTACAAATATTGTGCCAGCTCTGCCACTAATATTCTCATTACTCTTGGAATGAGTCTTTAATGTACAAGTCAGTGTCTGCCTAGTATGCATCTCTTTTGATGCTCAGTGAACTCTAAGAGGTACCCAGTGTTCTGCTATTGGCAAGAACTGAACTCAGACTCTGATCCTAACCAATTGCACGTTCTTAAAATCAATTGGTTTTAAGTCCATTGTCAACTGAAATTTCATACTGTGTTCTACAAGCCCTCCACAGCTGATCACTTGTACTTCTGATTGTACTAACAGCAATAGAACACAGACCTGAGTTGAAATACTATATCCTCCAGATCAGACACTGATATGTTCAACCTCAGGACAGAAAAAAAGGTATCATGCATGCCAACTAGTCGTTAAATTAAATATAAACAACACGATGCTACTGACTTGACAGAGCAGGCTATTCATTGCCTTCAAAAAGATTTTTTGAAACAAGTACTCCACAGAGAAATGTGTGTATATGCACACAATCAGATGACCATATTCATGACACATGCTGACCTATCAGCTAAATTGAACAGGAGGAAGGAGTGCCATCAGCTCCCCATCCAACTTCTAAGTCCTTCATGACTAAACACAGAATTTAATTAGTTAAGGTTAAATACTCAGGAGAAAGGTATCCAAGTTTCTTAAAACACAATGCTGAAAATTGCTGAATAATGCTCTAAAAAGATTATATTATGTGTCAGAGGATGGTATTAGTGCACATACCGTCACTGTAGAGAAAAATCATTTCCATTCAGTGAGACATTCAAGTATTTGGAAGGCAGTTAACAGTAAGTTAAAAGCATTGGGAAGGAAAACAGTGCTACAAGTGCCACAGAATAAAGAAACAAAACAGAGCACCAAAGTAGGAGGAGGAACTTCAGTGTAAAATAATCACATAATTATGCAAGAACAGACCTTTGGGCAAGTGTGGTTTGTTTTGTGGGTTTTTTCTAGGGTTAATTTTTAAGTACTGTGCCAAATCCTGGTCAGTTGATTAATAGGTTTCTTCTGCATACTTGATAATATTGATGCAATTATCAAAGTTGTGCTTTTTTCATATACCTCAAGACTCTATTCCTTTGTTAATATGATTCTGGATTCTGATATTGACCTTCTTCCACATATATAGAATTTACAGGAAAGGAGGAAATGACTTATTCTAGCCATGCTATCTTTCTTAATAAAGGAAAGTGATTATAACCTCATCGCTTTTCTTTGTAGGTCTTCAGCCCAGGACACAATTTGTATTTACTTGTGAGTAACCAATGCCCCAAATGCAAAGTTTGTCTTGCCATTAGATACCTTGCAGACACAAACATTACTTTACACTATAGGAAACATATTGCTGAACAACACTCAATTCTTTACACATCTTTCCTGATGTTACCAAAAGACAGCTGAAAACAAATGATAGCCTCTTATATATAATACTCTTATTCTTAAGAAAATCCGAATGGAAGAGAATATACTCTGGTTCCATTTGAGTTGCAGTATTAGAATGTCAAGACCTCTGCACCAAATTCTTCCACAGCTGTCACTGACAGAAGTAGAACAGTGATAGGAAAGGTGCTACTTTGATACAAAAATCATGTGGGGTTTGAACTCAGCCTCAAGCTGAAAGGTTATAATACTGTAAATTCTTAATTCACCAGCCACTCAGTGGCACAAACCATGTAGAGGTGCTCTATGTTGCAGGCAGAAGGAAGTTGTACATTTAACAACAAAATCAAGCAGCCCCCTTCCTGCACAAATGTCAAGATGAGAAAAAAGCAATTTCGTAACCATAAATAGTAGCATTCACACATAAGAAGCTAATGCTGCATCCATCCTTCCTCCAGTTCATCCTGACTCATAGTCCCAGATGTCTTCAACTTTGTCAAACCAGTTCAGTTTTTTGCTTACAGTAATTTTTCTTCCCTTCACCATTTCTTTTCCCAAATGTCAAAGAGAACTAGGGTGGTGTGGTTTTTTTTTTAAATGGTTTTCTGGGAGGAACTTTCTCATTAAACCCTTATTTAGAATGTGACTATTTTATCCAAAAGATACATCTGTGTTATTCCTAATGGCCTGTCTGTTTCCAAAACCTTTAGAAGATAAACATACAAATTCATAACAATCAGTAATGAATGGTTCTGTTCTGCAAAGAGCATGGAGAGAGGGAACCAGGAAATCCTTGGCTTATATAGAAATCTTTGGAGTTTAAGTGAAGTTGTGAATAAACTGTAACACTCTGAAACATGCAAGGAGTGTAACCCAATTCTCCTTCTGTGAGCTCATTGCTGACTTCATTGGAAGGAGTTTCAGGATAGGTTGATGAAGTTGTACAGTAAGATCTAACACAGCACCAGCTAAGCACTAGATTGTTAGACCTTCTTCTCGCAATATTTCATTTCAAGCTTTTGATGAAGTTTTCAAGTAAATTTTATCTAAAATCATTATAAATTACACTGTGCACCAAACTTTTCTGCATGCAAAACTGCAGTGTAGAGGCAATAAACTGTAATTTAAGAAGTATTTAGGAAGTGAACTGCATATATACATATTTTTAATTATCAGATATCTTATACTTGAGAGTTTATGCAGAGTTTATTCTTTCTTACACAGGACCGAACCAATATAAAATAGGCATGATTTACATTCCATTAAAACCTACCTCCCTGATTATTTTTGCTCCTCTTGAATTCTTCATATTGATAGCTATGCTCTGGAGACAAAAAAAAGTCATTAGGTAAAAAGCTCTTCTAATGATTATCAACTTCTTCTAAACACAACCAACAGTTAAGTTTCACACTACAGCTAAATAAACAAATTTTAACCCCACTCCACCCCTAAAAATAATTTTCTGTTGGTAAAGCAGGCTTAATGGTCTCAGAATCAGACAAGCAACAGAACAAGCCTGATGGATGTGCAACTGGGAGCTGCACTGTGGTCTGCTCACTGTATGTTTGTACAGCACTTACTACTGCAAGTACACATGGGGACACCAGAAACATTTGTTGCAATGGCAACAAGCCACTAAACAGTTCAGGCACTTTGTGAAGCTTCATATTAATCCTCAAGTTTCAAACTACACTCAGTCAACCTAACTACAGTATGCCGCCTGCTCTCCCACATCTCCAGCTGCCAGGTAAGGCAGGTCAGCTCAGGTGATCCATCCCAAAAAAAATGATCTTAAAAGAAGTAATAACCCTGAATTTCATCAGGGTTAATTTTCAGTTGATTTGCACCAGCAACTGAAGACCGGCAGGACGACTCTTGTATTTTGAAATTGCCTCAGCTGACCCCAGAAGCATACCAGAGATTAACAGCCTTTTTTGTTTGAAATACTTCATTTTTGTCCTGGAATGTATTCACCTTGACAACATAATTAATGCCAATGTAATTTATTACTCCATTATATATGTTAACAATCAAATGAAGTCAAATTATATTCTTATAAAGTACATCTCAGAAAATTAAACGAGTGAAGTTCTCTGTTACTCATCTTCGCTTACAGTTTTACTGTTCACTTTCACTTAGTTTTAAGTCAATGATAATGTGATAATGTACTGTAAAGAGTTCAGCCTTTATACCAAACCAAATGTAAATAATTTGAAGGAGAAGAACTACATCTTTAATTGCAATTACAACAGATTAATCTTCAATGTAGCACTTCATTTACCTTTTTATTTCTATTGACACTGAGAAAATAAACACTTTCTTTTCCAACAAAAGGTGGGCCCCAAGCTCTTGTGTCATCACCAGCTCCTGAAAGAAATACCATCACATTTTTTTTTTTTTTTTTTTTATATAACTATTCTGTATTACACTCACAAAACACAAAAGGAACAAGAAGGGTTGTTTTCTTGTTACCTCCCCCCTCCCCCCCGGTAATATTTACACCTTCTAAATTTCAATTAGTAGGCAGGAAAAAAAAAAAAGATTTACATATTCCAGGACATTTCTTTCAGAAAGCACCTAAGAATGAATATGATTAAGCAAAGCAAATTTTGTTTTTGGTTCTGCTGTGATGATTTTGAAACAGCTTGCCTTGTTCCTACTATGATTATTTTCATTTTAAAATGCAAATAAATGCACTGGGGAGCCGGCTGTATTTTTAGTTCCTTTTTAACTTAAAGCAGAGCTGCAATGCCATTCTTTCATGAAATCTGGAAGAATTTAGCAGACGTTCTTGTTCACACAGTCAACAAGCCATTCATGAAACACTCCAGACACAAAGTCATGATACCACTAATCAACAAGTTGTTGAGCTGCACACTGCAGAACAGCACCAAAAAGAAACACTTCCTACAGTGCTCCACCATTCAGAAATTCTCTTGCCTTACAGAAAGAGAAAATGGAATTCAAGCTTCTGCAGCTACTGATGTCACTGATTCATTTGTGCTTAATTTCCAATTTTAAACTTTTTTTAAATGTCATGAAGACTGGCAATCTATTTTAATTGCCAGTTTTAGTTTCAATCTAATTAGAATTAAAACTAAATTTAAGTTCTGATATAATCATGATCCCAAGTGCTAGTAAGCATGCACGATATCTCTTTATTTCAGTATAACTGCTGAAACTGCTTATAACTTATAACTGCCTTAACTGCTTGTTAACTTTAAGGGAGTGAAAACTTTCCTTAGTGAGGCAATACAGAAAACGAACACTAGCAACCTAAAGAACTTTTGGTCCAACACAATATAACCACTACCATATCATGCTACACACTGGAAGAACACCTAAAGGTTACAGCCATCTAAACTCAAATGTGGCAGAAGTTATACAGAAGTAAATTATACTCATCAACATTTGTATTGGTTATTATCTCAAAGAACTATCTTGGTTCAAGCAGGAAGCTCAGGGAAAAAAAAAAAAGTAGTATTGCTTTTATATGCTCCTATCTTGAGCCAATTAAACAAAATTTCAGTAATACTTTCCACGTAGGATGCTAGTGTGACTACTATCCTCTACAAATAAACACTCCTGTGATTATAGACAACTCACAGAAAAATGAGATTATCCATGACTGACATTCAAACTGAATGTCAAATGATTGGCATTCCTGCTCTTGAAGAGTTTGTTTGGTGGTTGAAGGAGAAAAGCAGCCTGAGAAGCCTGAATGTCAATCTCCAAACTAATTACTTCATACTAATCATCAACACTGCTCCATTCTTACTATAGAATTACAGTGGTATTTGAAATACCACTGTCCATCTCATCAAATTAATACATCTGCTGCCCTATTGCTAATGTGAAAACATTTCAAACAGCAAATGACTAAGGAGGATCCATAGGTTGCTGTGACAAGACTTCTGATAGACGTTCAATGTTTTGTTAGATGACCAAAAAAAGCTTTATATTCCCTATTGAAAATAAAATACAAGACATGTCATATGTCTTAGTATCTCAACTGTATGATTTATTAGTTTTGAAAAGAACTGGTAAAGACAATACCAAAGAAAAGTAAAGAAAATTTAAACATGGAAACTTGATGTGATGCGCAGCTCCTGTGGCATAGTTACATCCCTCAAATGTGTAATGAAGCTTAAACTAAAAGTCAAATGAAGGGTGTAATTCTAGAACTGGACTGAATGCCATGTGGCTTGTTATTCCTGTATGGTTTTAAGAACTAAAAATGTAGCTACTCCAACTGAATGAAGAAGAGGTGGGGCTTTTTTTTTTTTTTTGCTTTACCATTACTCAGTCCTCAGCAGATCTCAGAAACAGCTCTTTTTATATCAAGTGCAAGTGTTGAGTGGAAAAACTGTTATGTTAAGCTAAAACACACACAAATATTCTTCCATTTCTGAAGTAAGTTCTATCTATGAAGCTAACTACTCAGAGTCCAGCCAGACTCTAAAGTAGTGACAGAAATCTACTGCATCTGAAAACACACAGTGAAAGCTTGTTAATCTCAGTCACATTGAGCACTAGAATTAAGATTGGAATGAGTCCAGAGAAGGGCCACTAGGATGACCAGAGGGTTGGAGCACCTCTCCTGTGAAGACAAGCTGAGAAATGTTGAAGTTCTTTAGCCTGGAGAAAACTCCATGGAGACTTTATAGCCACCTTCCAATATCCAAACGGGGCCTACAGGAAGGCTGGCAACAGACTCACTCACTAAGAAACTTCCTCAATGTGAGGGTGGTAAGGCACTGGCACAGGTTGCCCAGAGTAGCTGTGGATGCTCTGTCCCTGGAGGTGTTCAAGACCAGGCTGGATGGGGCTTTGGGCAACCTGGTCTGGTGGGAGGTGTCTGTGCTCATGGCAGGGGGTTGGAACTGGATAGTCTTTAAGGTCCCCTCCAATCAAAGCCATTCTATGGTTCAGTGATCACAGAAGAGCAAAGACTCAAAACCCTAGCAGCAGCACAGTGTTTGGCTTTAAACCCAGAGACAGTATTGGCCCATGATAAAGAGAATAAAGAAAATTTCTCATTAGGGAGTTGTAATTAACCTCCAATTCAAGAAATCTGTGTGAGTATAACTGATTCCTGAAAAAAGGCATCAATTTTATTAGGTGTTGGTTACTAGGGGGGACAGTGACGAAGAAGGGCAGGGTGTTGTTTGTGTGGTTTAATTTGTTTCTTTTTGTAAAATCTAATGGCTTGCATGCAAAAAGAGCTTTAACTAACACACACAAAAAAAAATTAACCTAAGTCATTGCAGTTTATATGTAAATTGTGTAGAGTTCAGGAAACTCTAAGGATGACATAGAAATGAAGAGCTACAGTCATCCCTCCTTATAATTACATATTAGAACTGAGATAGTAATTGCCAATACATGAATCTAATTACAAAAAGATTTTATTATACTGAATGCTAACAGTAAAGCCTACTTTCATGCTGTCTATGTGAAATCAAAGTGCAAAGTTTACTTTTATACCTTTATAGGAACTAGATGATCATTAAGGTCCCCTCCAACCCAAACCATTCTATTATTTATAAAAAAAAAAAACTTCACTTGTGCACACAAACACAGCAGACCCGTCTTGTGGCTATTCATTCTCATACCAAGAATGGACAAGTCAAAACTTAGATTATCATCTTCACAGATACAGGTTCATACCAGCACAACCTCCTATGCATTAGCTACACATCAAATTCCAACACTTCGTAGATGAAAAAAATCTAGGAGTGAAAGGTTTAAATGTGCCACAGGCATTCAATTATTATGGTAAACACATAGGATACACTACAAAGAACTGTAAAGGCAGATTAGTTATTTTGTCTCTCAAAAAAGAGTATGTTTCCTCTATCACACTTGCACCACTCTGCTACAGTAACAAGAGTTAAGGCCACCAAAAAAAAAAAAAAAATCAAGCAAAGATCTTCATGATGTTAATACTGAGCCCTAACTTGAGGGCCCCAAAGGATTCAAAAAGAAGGCACCATATAAAGTCTAAAGTGCTAAGTATCAGTAGTAATACTGTTCCTAGTAACGTTTTAATAGTTAGAAAATAATTGTGAATTTAATAATTCACATAATGAACAATTGTGACCATGCAATAAGGTTATTCAGACTTAGCATCCAATTCTTATGATTCCTGTACTTGTTTGGGCTTTGTTTGTTTTAAGTTTAAACTGCTATATCATTCTTGTTTTACTGTTCTCTATATAATTTCCTGCTGTTAGAAAAAACAAAGCAAAAACTTTGATAGCTTATATATGTAGCTGCACTGCCCAGGGGAAGGAAGTAGTAGAGTGGAAAGGGGGGGGAAAAAGTGTTTTCAGTTTGTTTTGTGTTTCTCACTGCTCTAGCTTGTTAGTAATAGGTAATCAATTATTGTCACAAGCAAAGCAGACTTGGCATAGTGAGATTAATTTTTGAGTGATTTCCCTGTCCTTACCTCAAGCCTTGAGCCCTTTCCATCATATTTTTCCCCCCCTTTCCCTTTGAGGAGGGAGAGTGAGAGTGTGATTGTGGCAGAATTTAGCTTCCCAGCTGATTAAAGCCACCACAGTAGCTCCTAATATAATGAATTTACCAACGTATGAAAAAAATTACCTTGAGGGAAGAAAAAAATGAAAGTATATTATAAACCTATTGAGCCTCAAATCTGTGCATCCTGACTGGGGACTCATAATTCCTATGTAAATCCTTGCTGGAAGTTTCTGTTCGCATGTCAAATTTCAAATGTCACTCTACAGTTACAACTCTGTTTTAAACCCACATTACAAGAAATTCTAAATATCTAAGCATGCCCATGCCCAAACTGAAACCTTGAAGTCCAAACAACTCAACACATCAATTTAATTTTGAGTGATGGAATAAGCCATTTTAGGAAGTGATGATTTGGTATTGTTTGTACCTTAATATCTGGAAAAAAGGAACCTGATCTTACAACTTCAATCTTCTCACACTCTTCCCTAGATGTATTGGGTTTTTAATAAAACACACATACACAGAGTACATTGTTAAAGCAAACAGAACATATATGTGCAAGCAAACTTACTAGTAACTAGTTCCCCATCACCCCAGAAATAGAGCAATGATGTCAGAGTACTCCAGAAATTTGAGAGCTATAGCTTTAAAAAATATAGAGAAACAGCTACAAAATAAAGTTTTTCTTAGCCAATACCATACACACACTGTAAACAAAAACAGTCACTAATGCAACATAGCATTGTCTTTTTAAATATTTTCAGAGTCCAGACTTACATTCTCAGTCCATAGTAAACATCCCACAACATTACCACAAAACAAATTGTTGTTAATAATCTGAGGTACACTGGAAGACAACAATTCCAAATACACAATCAATCATTTGCTAAACTGGAACACATTCTTACCATAGCTAAAATAAAGACAAACCTTACCTGGCCTTTCCACTTTGATGACTTCGGCCCCTAGATCTCCTAAATTCATCGTAGCAAAGGGCCCTGCAAGCACCCTGTAATATTGTAAGAAGATTCTTAGTTTTTCCTACTACAATACCCGCATCTAGACAGAGCTTTCCAAGTGATAAACAAAACACAAACCTTGTTAAGTCAAGAATTTTCACGCCATCCAGTGGCTTTACATTACTAGCACCTGACAAGAAAGAGAAAACAGTAACTCACTCCTGATTTTTTTTTTCCCCCAAGATGTTTCTGATTGGAAGTTTGAAACCCTTCTTGTAACTCTCTCATCATCCTCCCTCCCCAAATACAAGATAATAAAGCTTTCTTTACAGGTATGTTATTAGGATTATATTACATTATTATTAAAGCCTTTCAACGTTGAAAAAATTTATAGCTAATATAGCAGAATCTATTGTAGATACCCATGAATTCTACAGTAAAAACTACCTTGAGTATTTTTATATACCAACCACAAACACACATCTTTTAAAGACTAACCTGAAGAAAGATCCAAGACAAGCATGGAAAACATTTGAATGACAAACTAAAATTAATGGATAACAGATCAATGTGAATCACAGTATCCACAGCAGCAAAGTGGTTTGACCTGGAGACCCATGCACTTGCAACCCAAAGTCTCTGCATTTCAAAAGAGAAGTTACAAAACTGAAGGTAGAGTGTATGAACCAAGGAAACACTAATTCTCTCTTTCCGTTCTCAATGGCAATTATACAGGCAGGACTACTAGCAAACCACAGTTCTCTCCTCCTTTCCCTCCTCACCGCTTCCAGCCTGACTAGCTTTGAGAAACAGCAGCAGTGGCATGGCAAAGCAAACAGTCACATCATCTAGACAACAGGTTTGCAAATATCTCCACGTAGCCTCGAATAAGGAAGTTTTTCTTATGCTAACAATGTTTTGACCTGCAGACTGGGAATGCAAACACTTCACTGCCCCATGCAAATGGGGATTTCATTACTTTTTGTAAGGTGGGCTTCTACCACAAAAAAAAAAAATTATCAGCACCTGGCCAGACACATTACAAAACTACACAGCACTAACTTGCATTAGTTTTATGCGTTTGTCAGGTAAAAGAAGATGTAAAACATGTAGAAAACAGTTCACTCAAGCACAGACTTACAGAACAAGAGGAAGGAACTACAATCCCTTCAAAGTGCAGGGCATCTTCAGAGCCACACAGAGGTGTGCAACCATGACTGCCTGCACCCCATACCCCCTGTCAGATCAGAGTCACCTATCACAACACCCCCCCCCCCCAATGCTCTTTATTTTTAATACCAATGATTTTTAATCTTAATATGTTTATATATAAAAAAAATAATCTACAGAGCTATGAAGAAGCATTGAGAATTCAAGGCTTCTGGTACTTTTTCAGTCACTGTACTGCTCTCTCTAAAAACATTCACATACCATTCTTCATCTTTAAGACATTTCCCCTCAATTACTACAAATCACTCCAGAGAGATTTGAGTTTAATGGGTTTTATTTTTTAATGCAATATGCAGACCAAGCAGCATGTTGAAAACAGGCTAACAAGCTTGTCTAAGAACAACCACGTATTTTGAACATTTCAAACCCTTTAGGAAAACCCAGACTGCCACCTCGCTTCAACATTTGCACACCTCAGTGAAAAATCCCAGTGCTGGAAAAGACTTGCGCTACTGCCAGGTAAGCATCACAGATCCTCCAGTGTAACCTCAAGATTAGCAAATTGGCTCTAGTTAGGCAAACAGTTAAGCATACACTTATCTTTTAAATAGCTAAGTCCATCTGCTTCACAATAATATTGCTGTCATTAATTAAAATTTAAAAATAAAAATATATCATTTGTTAGTTAGCCAGAAGGGCCCACCTTCCTCTCTTCTTTGCATTCCATTTGAAAATACATTCTTATTCAGTTGCTCACTAGCACTAGAAACCTTAGTGTCCTCCCTGAGCCAGCATTCAGTGTTACTTCCATTTCTCACAAACACAAAAAACAGCCTTTCACAGCCAACAGGTTCCCTACCCACAGCCAACACTTTCAGGAAGCCATAAAGATTTTTCCCCAAAAAGCCTGTAAAAAGGCTGTTAAATTTCAAGTTTGGACAATTTGCACCCTGAGACTACGGAATCCTTACTAATTATCGCTTACACTATGGTACAGCTAATGCTCCATTCGGGGATTAGGACTCTGTTATAGTTGAAACAGAACATGACAGTACAAGCGTTGTTGCAGAGATGCAGGCCCTTGTGAATTTTCCATAAATGCTCGTAGATAAGGATGATGTCCACAAAAATGCAAGAAAGAGGAGAGATCAAAAGCTTGCTTGTGAATGACTAAGACGGAGACAGACCTGCTAGTCACTTCAAACTAGAACAAGCACAGGCAGACACAGAAGAAAACTCCTAGAATCTGAGTTCACATTCCAGCAGGACACCAGCTTGCAGAAACAATTACAACACAAAGCCTTTTGGTCATCAGAGAAACAGCAGTTCTGATGCACTGATCCCAAGTACTGGAATGCTGTCAACCCACCCACCACTGCAGGAACAAAAAATAAAATAAAGAAAAAATATACCATCAGAAAAGAACGAGTATTGACCAAAAGCCTCTCCTGTCCTCATTTTTTCTATGTGCCTGGTATTATACAAGCCCAACTCAAACTTTTTTCCCTTGACTGTTTTTTTGTTGTTGTTCTGCCTCAGTATAGCCTAAGTTTCCATGAATCTTGAATTTACTGTAAACAAGATAACTATATGTATCTATTTCAACACATATTTGATGAAAAATAAATAGATCCATTCAATCTTGAGACAGTTTAAATGCTTAGTTCAATTCACCAGGCTGTCCCTATCATGAAGGTAGAAATAAAAGGTAGTGATATATAGAGAGGTAGTGATAAATTGGCCTATTGTAACAACCGGAGCAAACAGCCAAGGAGATCATACTATATGGCAGAACAGACTGAAACCCATTTACTATCACAGTCCCTGAAAGCTTTTCCTTAGTTGTTTTTCCCTTAGCTAAGCTTTTCATTAGCTGATTAGGACTTTAAACGCTTACACAACAGTGTAAGTTAAACATAAATACACCAATCCCGTTCTGACTGCTTCCAGCTAAGGGGGGGGAACCCCTGGAGCCTCATGCCCCTACCCTGACCGCACACGCTGCTATGTGCTCCAGGCCACCACAAGCGGGGTGCCCTCCGCTGCCACCCCCAGCCAGGGCTGCACCTGCTGTGCCCATCTCACACCAGGCTGAGCTTCCCCCGGCTGCCGGGCGAGTGTTTGCGTTGGGTATGTGGTAACAGGGTTACTCTGTAACACAGCACAGCGCAGCCGGCGGAAACTGACTTGGTCGCGGCCCGAGGCTGCGGTCCTGCGGGAAGAGCAGGGAGCTGCTGCGGGAAGCCAGGCTCCTGGCACCTGCGGGGAAGGGAAAAGGAGAGCATCAGAGCCCGGCTGCGGCGCTGGGCGACACCGCGGCCCCCAGGCGGGGCAGGGCTGAGAGCTGCCGCCTCCTCCTCCCCCCCCACCCCCCCGAGGATGCGGCATGCCCCCGCTACCTGCCGCGGGGGGTGCCGCCGAGGAGGCTCCGCCGGGGCGGCGCAGGCTCCTCCACAGTCCCCCCACACCGCCTCCGCTCCTTCCTCCCAGCGCGGCGCTCAGCATCCCCGCGGCTTAGCCTCAACGACGGCCCCGCCCCGGAGAGCAGCGCAAAAAGGGTCGCGCTCCGCCGCAACGCGCAGGCGCCTCAGTACGGCACCCCTCTACCCCCGCCTCGGAGACGGGCAGCGTTAAATAGCTCCCCGCCGGGGGCAGCGCGCAGGCGCGGGGCTGCTCTGCTCCGCCTCGCGGTGGTTGAGGGCGTTGGGGGCGTTGGTGTGCGCGGGGCTCCGTGAGGGGGCAGCGGCTCAGCCCCGGCTCGGCGGCATGTGGGGAGGTTTCAGTGAGACCTCTCGGTGTTCATGGCTAGCCCGTGGGCTGCCCTGCGGCGTTAAATAGGACAGATCGGGCAGGTTCTTAGCCTGCGATCCCGATAAAGGGTAGCGTCCGGTGTGCCCGCCCTGTTACCCCCATGTAAAAGGGGGGAAAAAGTGGTAACAAACCAGGTCTTTTCTTAGCATGTGGGACGCAGGTGGTCGGACTTTATAAATGGTGAAATTTCTTTCAGGTGTTAGAACAGTGGTTCCAAATGCTTAATTGGAATGCAAACCTTAGGACTTACCCAAAATCGACTTTTTTGCGTTTGTGATGTCTAGCTCCGAGCTGAACCGACTTATAGCTAGAAACCTGTTTCTTGTTTGCTGTCCTGTATTGCCAGGGTGAAATAAAACAGTATCCCCATGACAATTTTCCATACTTAACAAGTCAGGCGATTATACGGCATGCCATTAAGTCCTCTCGCTTAGCACGTGGTAGATCCTTGAGCTCACTTGCTCTTCATTAGAGGTGCAACGTTAATTATGCTGGAAGCCCTCTCTTCACCTGTACATAACTCTTTAAGGGTTCAGAAGACTGGGTCTTTAAGCGAGTCTTGCCTGAGCAAACTACTTAAAAGACTCTTTTTAGTTTCTGATAGGACAGAGTGAAAGGCTTTTAACATCCCCGCCAAAAAAAAAAAAAAAGTCTTAATAGGATAAAAAACCCTGCACAGAGGTTCGGCATTTATTCATGGGAAATACACTGGGAGGATGACAGCTGCATCTTGATAGATACAACTCTATCTAGATAAAACTTCTGACTGCTTGAAAATGAGCATTACAAACAACACACTCTTAAAAGTTTTGCTTGACAGAGCACCTGGACGCTGAGGAGGAACAAAGGAAAAAGTTCCATCACAGGTTTGTTGGCTGGATATACAATAGGTAATGGAAAGTGTGACTTGTATGCTTAGAATCCTAAAAGCAATTAGGATTTGTCAACAAGAAGAAATTAGCAAAATTACCCCAGAGTAACTTAACATCTGTATAATGATGTTTATTTCTCATTAGCTTCGTGTGAAAATGGTTTAAATTAAAAGAAACCATCAATTTCTGAAATAAGACTGGTCAGACTGAGAAACTGATAGCACATTGATAAACTGCTTTGCATAGACATGTTATTTCTTGAATGTATAATAGTAGGTAGAAAATTGGTCTTTTGGAGAAAAAGAAACAGGAAATCTTTTGCTAACCCTTTACTAAGTGAATGGGTTTAATCTCTGTGTCTGCATTGCAGCTTTGCAAGGATAACAGAGCTGGCTGGGCACAGAAAGTGAGTTATCTCCCTTGGCAGAGCAAACAAACCAACAAGCTGGTGTTTAAAGGAAAGCAAGACCAGCAGGTGCAAGAACGCACCCCCCTTGTGTTTCCGGCTGATGCCTGTTCTGAAGCTGCCAGTCACACGCTGCGATGAAGTAGGGCGGCGTTGCAGGGATGGCAATCTCAAAACTTAATTCCCTGTTTTTCATTGATTCGTTCCGAACTTATGCTCGTATGGCTCGGAGGAGGAGTGCTGTAAGTAACGCTGTTAGGCTGCTAAACAGGGGGTTCTCCTCCAAGGGACATTTTTAGGAATTTCTGAGTTCACCGAGCACTCTACCCGTTCTACGGAAGAACTGCCAGCCGTTCCAAACAAAATGCACAGCCTAAAAATAAAATAAAATAAAATAAAACGTTAAAAGCCCCCCCAAAAAAAGCCTTTTGCCACCTCCTCTCCAGCAGCTGCGAGCGCGTCATCACCCCCTGTGCTCCTCGCTTCGCCTTCCCCGGCCCGGAACCCTGCGCGCCCGGAACCTACGGGCCGGGAGCGCTGCGAGCGCGGAGCCCCGCGAGCACGGACCCCCGGCAGGCCGGGCCGGTGGCGGCGGGGCCCGAGGAAGCAGCGGCAGCGGCGCCAGGAGCGGCAGCAGCGGCGCGGCCCCCGGCCATGTACCGGCAGAGCTTCCGCCCCCCCACGCCGCCGTACCCGGGCGGCGGCGGGCTGCGGAGCCCCCCGCCCGGCGGCGGCGGCCCCATGGCGCCCTCCCCGCGGGGCTACGGCAGCCCCCAGCACACGCCGCCCTACGGCCCCTGGGCCGGGCCCTACGGCGGCGGCCGCTCGCCCCGCGGCTTCGGCTTCCACGGCGGAGGCCGCTTCGGGAGCCCGTCGCCGGGGGGCCAGACCCCGCGCAGGCCGCAGAGCGCCAGCCCCCGCTACCCGGCTCCCTACGGCGGCAAGTCCCCGGCCGGAGCTCCCCCGCAGCCGCAGCAGCACAAGCGCTCGCCCGGGGGCTTCCAGAGGCGCTACCAGGTATGGGGCAGGGCGGGGAGGGTGCGAGGGAGGGAGGCAGCCGGGACGGGGGCGCGCAGCGAGGCTCCGAGGGCAGCCGCCGCTCCGCCGTAGGGAAGGCGCAAGGACTCGCAAGGGAGTCAGTCGCAGTTCGCCTTTTAATATCCCGGCGTGCCGAGGTGCAGGGAGAACTAGACACCGCCCCAAACTGCAACCGACAGCTCTTCCCCGTCTGTTTACTGCCCTCTGATCAGTTTTCCATAAAACAACGGGGAAGTGCTGGGTGTTTTCCTTTGCCTGTGGTGTCTGACAGCAAAGAAGCAGCCCTGCACACACACAGAGCTTTCCCAGGCATCGATAAAAGTAGTGATCTGCCAAAGACAACGAAGCCGAGCTTCATTTAAACAGAAATGAGAACATCTGTTGGGATGGTAGAGTATCTGCTTAAAGTCCCAGCACTACACTGAAAGCTTAACTTTTTATAAAGTAATTTTTGTAGGAGCACCTCGTTATTAACAACAGGCTGAGCGAGTTAACGCTTTTTTCACGATGGTTTAATTGGGGTGCATGACAAGTGCTACAGATAGGGATGGCATTTCTTGGGATGACACCAACCTAATTGCATGAAGTAGCTACATACATATTAGAGAAACCTTAAAAGCCTAAGATATGACACGTGCAATACAGACAATGATAAATTTTTCAGGTCCTCTTACTGACGCTTTGTTTCTATTCAGAAATAGTCTGATTACTTTTTACTATGCAGATAGCTGTCATAGCAATCTCACAGTCGGTGAAAGAGGATCATTACGGACATCATACATTTTCTTTCTCATCTAAGGCCCTCTCAGGGCAGAAGCCTACGGATCCTAAAAAAGCAGAGGCTGTGGGGTTTCTACTGCAGTAGAAGGATGTAATTTTTGCATTAAAATGGCTCTGACATTGTGAAAAGAGAGGGTTTTAGTCATTGATGTCTGATTTCCCTCTGTAAGGTCACCTAAGGTCACCTTTGGATATTCACCTAAGTGTTTTTTAAAAGCCTGCCTTAAATTAATTGAGCAGAAGAATATGCAGAAGTCTTTTGTCTCTAGTTTTAGCCAGACCCGGCTCATACCAGGAACTGTGAGCAGGAACAGCCCTATAGGCTTCATCCTTGGTGTTAGGAATGAAACCTGACATGAAGAACAGACAGGTTTGAATCTGGTCACAGGCTGTCTACGTTTTCTCCTCTTCCCTTTTTTTCTGCAGACCTTGTGAGTAGTTTGAGAGCAGTGACCTGATAGCGATGCCTTTCTAGATTAGAAAGCCATTTGTATGGTTGTAGCTTTGCCTAGGAGTAAGGTGATGTGTGTGCAAGTACTTGTACACGTATACACATGGACTGCTTTGCCTGGAAGGGCAATCATGGGTGGAGGAAATCTCATAAACCGTGAGTCCTCATTTTCTTTGACATGGGCAGCAAAAATCTCAGTTCACGAGGCCATCAGTAGATTTTGGTAGAGGGATTTTATTCCACATTTTCAATATCAGGTTTCTTCAGAGGTTGGTCCCTTGTCTTCTGCAGATGCTATTGGCAAGAGAAGTACAGTGCCTTTGAAATTCATGAAATACAAGATTTCTATCTCAAAGGTGACAGTAACCCTTTAAAATTGCATTAAGAAATCCAGAAGATAGTTTATATTTTTTTTTCTTGTAGAGTTTTATTTTTGAAATGAATAGAAAAGTTAAAGAATAACCTTTGTTTGGCCAGTACGTAACTGAGCTTTCAAGTTTTCCACAGGGATGCATCTGCTTTTAGATTTTATGAAAACAAGTTTGTTGAATCTCATGAATATCACCTCTTAGAATTCACTTAGAGGCAGCATTTCCCTTTTTATACTAAACAGCAGTTAGTGAAGCCATAGCTAGTAGTGGTAATGGGGTGAAAATTTTACAGAAAGTTTTTTAAAAGCAAAAACAAGTTGAGTGGTTCGAGCAGGGTTTCTATGTTTCTGTACATCTGCCAGCATCTAAAATTCAGGTGGAGAAAGTTGATTAAGGAAATGATTGTCCCTATTTTCAAGGCACTGTTGTCACCTTCAGCAAGTTAGTGAATAGTGCCAAAAGAAGCTTTTTGTTACTTTTTTATGTGTCATTGGCATCAGTTTCACTTGCACAGGTAGGTCTAGATGTTTTTCCTTTTCCACAAGCCTGTAATGTGAATAATCACCTCTTGATTTTTTTCACAAAGAAAATACAAAGGAAAAAAAAAAGACATAATAATTAGTATTCTAAATCAAAAAAATAATACTAATGTTCAAATTTAACACTTATTGAAGACATCAGTCTTGAATAACATAATACATAATAAATACATAATAATGTAGTGATAATAGATGTCAGGCATACAAAAATGTCAGTGTTATGGATGGCCTGCATTATCTTGCAGTACAATTTAGTATTACAAAATAAATCCATCCAAAAGGGTCTTGCCACTGATTTAGTTTGTTCTGTCACTGGGTACTGCAGAGAGTTAGGTCAGTTAGTTCAGCTTTCTTCTGAGTGCTGCAGATTACACATAACACTAAATACGCTCCACATTTAAACTGTTCTACAATGTAGGAGTTGCACGGTCTCTATTAGACATGTTGTCTTAAAGTTTTTTATTTTTTTTTTTTTTAAGATAGAAAGCACTATGTACTAGTGCTTTACCCTTAACATGAGTGCTTAAATAACAATAACGTAATTGTTGACTCAACTCCTTATCCCTTAGAAAGTTTTTTAGACCTTTTATTGAGGTCCTCTCTGACCTTACCCTCATGGTTTTGATGTTATACTTCATGAAGTAATTCTCTACCTTTTAGTAGTTTTCCGCTTTTGAGATGATCATCATAGCTGCAAAACCTAATTTTCTGTGGTGAATCATTAGAAACAAATGCCCTGTAAATTAGACAAGGATGTTGCCATGTATGGTCTTGTATCCATTATAATCAAGCTTTAGGAATTGTAGAACAATAATGATTGGGACCACCTGTCAGTACATTTTCAGAAATACTTGCAAGACTGAGCGGTTTCAGTGGCTTACAGCTAAGCAAAGGGTTCTTCACTATATGGCAGTATTTCTCAGTTTTATCCAGAAATGGTTTCATGTGATCCACTTAGGTTTAGTTGCGTTTATTCGTAAAACTCAAATATCATCACTGTTGGTCAAAAAAAAAAAAGCCTTTAATCAGTGTTTTTACAGTCCTTTACGAAGTCAGAGGCAGCATCAGCCTCAAGGAATCCTGTTCTTAATTAAACAGGATGCATCAGGCACATTTGTAGACTAACTCCTGTGTATCTGTAACATAGGTTGTTTAGCCTTGGTTAAAACAAACCATTTTGAGTGGATGTAGCTTTAGACAAAACCTCCCTTTTTAGTGAAGTGAAGCTGAGGAAAAGAACAATGGATGATGAACAATGGCTGAAAAAAATATTTATTTAAATATTAAAAATATATTAGAAATATATATTTTAAATTGCTAAATTTGCTTTGTTGTAGCCCTCTTTAAGTTGCAGATCCTCGCAGGTTTGTAGAAGTAATTGCGTTGATCCCTGATCTTTGGAGAAAAAAAAATATCAAAAGCTTCCAGGCAAAAGATTTTTTTTTTTTTTCATGTAATAACTGTTTAATCATTGATACCTGTTCAGATTTGCACGTCAAAAGAAAATCACTTCTTCTCAAATTTCACAAAACACTAGTTTGGTTGAAGCAAAAATTGTTTTTCACAATAATTTCCTCATGTTATTTGTAGCTATTTGCTTTATACATTGGTACTCAATCTATAAGGACTGAATATTTGACGACTGCTCCTGTAAACGTTTCTGACTCTTCCTCAGCCTCTACACACTGTTTTTTGTTGTTCAGCTTTTGAATTAGACATGTTGTTGACTTAGGCAGCGTATGAAAAATAGCAGAGGAACTTCTCTCTAGTTATGTATGGAAAAAAGGTGGTTTGGAGAAGACTGGTGTTTATCCTGGTAAATCACAACTTGTAATTAAAGTATAATAAAGCCAATTTATTCTGAGGAAGAGCAGGTGAGGAATAGTAAATATTCTTTGAAGATTATTCATAAGCTTCAAAGCTCTGCTACATTAGAAGGAAACTTATTTTAGCTTGAATTAGTCTATTAAATGTTTCTTTACTTGATGGTTTTCTTCCAAAGGGATCACCCAGGACATCTACTCCATTTGGTACAGCGCTTGGCAGAGAGAAAAGAGTGTCTAATGATGTGGAAAACTATTACAGACCTTCAATGCTTGAGGACCCATGGGCTGGCCTAGAGCCAGTTTCTGTTACAGACATAAACCAACAATACAGCAGTGAGCAAACAACATATACTGGTAAAAAAGGGAGGTATTTCAGTTAACACTTTTTAAAGGCCAAATAACTCCATCTTGTCAGGAAAACTCTGGGACAAAATCTTTACACTAACACAAGATGAACAGTAATAAAGACCTTAGTTAATGTTTTTATTTGATCACCTTTTATCCAATTTTTTTTTTATTGCATTGGAAATTTTTATGTGCGGGGAGGGAAAAGGAGTGGTAGGACAACTTACATTTCTGGCTGCATGGAAGTGCCTACCAGCTTTGAAGAACAAAGTGTTCTTTAATCACCAGCGACTGATCTGTGACTGTTAAAACAGGTTTCCATATATTTACCTCTTCCATGCCAGATTGTTAGCCTTTTATTGTAAACTCCTTTAAGAAATGGTATTTTTTTATGTTTCAACATTTTTAGAATGAAGCAACTTGGAAATAAAATAAAGTTTTGTAAATCCTTGTTTTGTAATGTATAAAGATTATTTTAGGACTTTTGTTAAGGTGTACTCACTAATAGAACTAGTAGTAGTTAAATTAGGTGACTTCTGTAAATGTGCTTGTATGCTGTAGTTAACATCTGATTTTGTGCATAGCATTTTTTTGTTAATTGTAGTGTAACATGAAACTGAAATATGACATTTAGCCACCTCAGGAAACAAATGTATTGTCTTTGGAAAGTTTAATTTGTTGAACCAGATCTTGAGTCATAAACATAATTCTGTAATCGTTTACTTTTGTATTTAAAAAAAAATCATATTTGGAACAAGATTAGACGTTCTGGATTATAGTAAACAAGTCTGTTCACTGGCAATTTTAGTCTTAAGCAACACACATCAGAATTAAATAAATACAAATGTGCTTTCTGGATCTACGTTTTAGAATAGCATAGAATGCTTGAAACTTTGTTGTACAGTTGACATAAGAATATGAATAGCCTCCTTTTTGATCTGCTCTGGATTTTTCAATTTTGTCTTTTAATTTTTACCTACAGCTGGCATCTTTGCTTAGAGAAGTCTTGTTTTCTGTGTGTGCATGCTATATTTTTATACTAAAGAGGAAAAATATTTTTTTTCTCTTTTTTTTTTTTTTCCTTAGGACTAGTCTAGTTGCAGAAGATCTATTCTTAAGTCTGCTAATGAATACTGTAATTTAGAACTAATTAGAAACAGTTCCAGCTGTAGGCATGCTCTTTACATGACATGTTAAGCCTGCAGTGGATATCTAAAGTGTTGTTGAACGTACTGTCATTTGTTTGTTGATCTTTTCTTTTTAGCAGGAGGTAGAGGCAAAAACTTTTTTGTTAATAAAAAGCACTAGTTCAGTTTTCAAAACCTACATATTTGCTTTTAAGCTCATTGTATACTTCACAGGAAACACTTCTGTAGTCCTGAAGCACGGCTATGTAGAAGAGCACAAGAAATCACATCATGCTGTTCTTAGTAACTTGTCTTTTGCTGAGGTATGATAGCCCTAGAGTACCACTTGGACTGTTCCATCATAAAATGTCTTGGCTGAATACCACCTTCAGGAACAACATAAACTGGAAGGGGGGTAATACTTATGGATATGTGCTAGCTGAGTCTCTTAAACTTTTATGACTATAACCTAAATTTTGTTGCTCTCTTGTCTTCCTTCAATTGATCTTGTTTTGTTCTAGTACTATATCCCAAAAGGTTGCTCAGAGAACTCAAACCATAATGCCTGCTTGATATCAAGAATTCTTAAATCTTCATCCCAGAATCAAAACTGTCCCTGAAATGGCAGCTATCAGTATTGTTATCTGTAATGCACACCAGCAAAACTGAAATAACTTGACAAGTTGCAGATAGTCTTTAGAAATTAAATATCAAATAATTGTGTCACTTTGAATAGTATTTTTCCTTTGTTTTTAAACATTGAGAGGTAAAGTTCACAAAGTTATAGGGTGCTTAACTGAATCACCTGTTTTTTTACTTTTTCCTTTGTAACTCAATGCAGTTTACTTTTTGCAATATGTTTGGTGATCTTGAGGAAATAGATCGGATAGTACCTGATGTTTTTTAAGAGACTAAAGCTCTGCCACGTTCCCAGTTAGATGCAAGAAGAAACTGGGTTTGGAAAGGAGAAAGGAAAGGAAAAGGATTCATGACAGAAGAGAGACTCTTAGAGGTGGGACTGCTTTTACAGTAGCCACTATGAGCTGCCCTTGCACATTTCAAAGATGCATTTTTCCACTTTGGCTTTCTGAGGGATTACTATGGTAATAACTGTTAACTCCTGGAACCGGGTGTCAGACATCAACGAAGGTAAATGTTCCAGAAAGAGATTTGAGGAAATAATCTCGGAGCATTCTATTAATCAATACAGGCCTTCCACAATTCCGTCTGTTAAGCTGCTGCTCCTATGCACTTCAGGATATGACCCAGCAATTATAAGTACATCATACTGCTAAAGACTCCAATAATTTGGTCAAGAATCTGCAAGGAATTGAAATGTAGGTCTAATGAGCTTACTAAACTCATCACACCGTACCAAAAGCTTAAAAACAACTTACCTTTCTGGCTTCTAAGAGAAATTCTGCAATTACAGTGAAATTTCAAAATGTCATTGTTGAATAGCTGTAAAATGCATGAACACATGTTCAGAACTATAAATATAATGTACTTAAAGCCAATTTAAACTTTGCCTTTTTTTACAATGATATCCAGGAAGCTTGAGCACTTACTTCCTCGCTGATTGTAGTCCCTTTTCCCATATGGCAAACATTCTTTTTCCCATATGTTTCTAATGGAGATAGGATATATCACTTCCTCATTTGTTTATGAAGCCTCTTCATAGGAACAGGATGGCTCTGGAAATAGCATTTGATGATAAAAAGCACATCAGAAATGCATCCTTTCTTCATGATCCCATGAAACAAAATAATGTCTGTGCTTTGCTAATGAAGGGATTCTTCTGTAATGAATACACTAAGAATATGGGCGTTGTTCTTTCCTCAACAGACGACTTAGACTTTAAGGTAAGTCACTCTCTTCAGAAGTTCGGACTGATGCACGTTCTATCCATTCTGTTTTATTTGCATTCTGCCTTTGTCCATCAAGAGTTACTTTCCATTCAGTTTTGTAAAAGAAATTGCATAACTCATTACTAACTCTCTTCTAGCAAATACTTGTTTTCATTTTTTGTTACTTGCTAGCTACTGTGTTTAACAGTGAGCTCCATATCACAGTAAGAAAACTTAAATCACCTGCATTCAATTCTGTGTGACATGGTAACACACCAGGTGGGGAACAAACTATCTTTGAGGTATTATACAATCTGGGATTAAGTTAGAGTTTTCACAGTGATTTTGTAATACAGAATAGTCATTCTTCTCTGGCACTGTGGACACACTGTTTACATTGAAATTGGAAAACATGCAAGTTAGAGTGTTGAAATTTCAATTAAAGCAGGATTTAAAATGTACATATCAAGCTACTTTTTAAAACTAGCAATAAGACATTTTGCAGAGAAAATGCTTCTGGTCAACAAAATGAGAAAGTTCTTCTGCACTCAGGCTGTTTTTCTTTTCTTGTTAGGGATATCTTTATCCTAACTTTATGCAAATGTGTTCATTAGACAACTAGGAGAAGAAACATGCATTTTATGTAAAGCCTGCAAGTATCTATTCTTCAACTCCCCCTTAAAGAAGAGTTTTTATAGACTGAGTTTTGAGTTACACTTGCAAGGAGTCTTGTTGACATCAGAGGACTTACTTGTACGCCTAAGATACATAAGTATCTAACAAAATCTGAAAATTATATCACCCATTGGTTTTTCAGTGCTCTTTACCAACTCTGCAATAAACTGCAATGTCTAGTAATTGCTCTGAATTCCAAGTTGTTCATGTGCTTTTCATACACGAGCCAACCTTGTCTTGCAAGGAATTAAATCTTTTTACCACTGAATTCTTGAGAACGGAGATTTTGTTTTCCCTTCCCCCAAGTTCTCCTTCCTTCCAGCTTGTTTGTATTAGGAAGGAAAATGGAAAATTGCACCCACTGGTTGCTGAGGAATCATATATTGATTTCATGTTGCAGTCTCTCAGAAGCTTGTGAGCTAATTGAGAGGTAGCTATGTATACTTCTCCATTATTCGGGATGGCTCAAAGAACTACTCACACCACAAAAAACAGGAAGGAAATCACCGAGGTGTGTTAACATTTAACAGTAGTAGCATTCAGTCAGTTCACAATCTTTTTTTTTTTTTTTTTTGCCTACAGCAACTTTTGTTTTCAACTGGATGTCTCACTACGCACGAAGAATTAAATCATTTTTGTTTTCTTCTGTTTTCTTTAAAATACATGCTTTGTGGGTTTAGAGTTTAAGAACACTTCCACAATGAGGATTTCTGAAATTACCTTTACAAAATGTGACAACACTAACAAAATTTATCCTTATCAGCTTAAGGGCAAGTTTAGGCCTGCCCTTAAAAGCAGCTTAGATCTCATTAAAATAACTTTATCCCATCCTCAGTACTTCTTTGGGAACACAATTACCGTGCGAGAAATGGAGGGGCAGAAGCTCGGTGCAAGAACAAGGTCAAACTACCCTTCCTCTCCTAGAGGTTACCACTAGTTCCCTGCCATTTCCATGTGCTCACATCCAGGAGATGTTTTCAGCCAAACAGTCATCCATTCCGTTTGCAGCACTTTATATCAGAGAGTTGCTTAGTACACGTCTTACATTTAAAATTTTAATAGCGCTATAACTTTTAATTTGTAGTTTAGCCCCTAAAACTCTTGCCTGTTCTCTTCTTCTGAAGTAAAATCACAGGTGAATGTCACTGCCTTCGGTTTCCCTGGTCTATGACTGTTACACATTCTTTTTTCAACCACAGTTGTAAACATTCTCTGACAAAAATGAAAAATCTGGTTTACATAGAATATTGAACATAATTTCACAAAACTGTAGGCTGTAATATTCACTGACTGTGGAAAGCTTTTGACACTAGATTAGCATACATTCGTTGCAATTTGAGAGTAAAAAGTATTCCCACATTAAGATTTTACATGCCAGCATTTTTGGTAGTAAAAGTTAAACCTCCAAGTGCTAGCAAGGAAGCAGTTTTCAAATATTAGCATTATATTTATTTTCTATTTTTTTTAAGAAAAGATGACATCTTCGGAGACAAAGAATATGACAGCATGTCAGACTGAAGTTTTTAACTCAATTATTTCAGAACGGGCTGCACTTACCAGAAATCTTCCTGTGTTACCCTACTGCCAGCAGTGATCACACTGCTCAATGTCGTATTAAAATACATGTAAACCTTCTGGTATCCATATGTGTTTTTCCACAATCTAATTGCTCTGTAGTCAAGATAGTTGAAAACTGTTAGTGTAGAATAAGTAAGTGTTTGCTTTGGGTTTAAAATCCTTGTAGCTTGCATGAGGAAATTCCCAAGAGTTCCTACTGCTGAACATGATGTTGATATATCACTAAATGCTTATAAATAGAAGAACAAAACCATTTTCACACTGATGCAAACATTCCCTTTTTGAGAATCCCATTGAGCTGATGCTGAAATGGAAGAGGAATTAAGCTAATTGACAACTTCTGTAGATGACTGCACAACATAAACCACAAATAACAGAGCAAACATGAGCTTCAAAAAACACTGATTGCCAACTGGGGAGTAGTATCAGCAGTAATTGGATTATAAGTAGCAGTTGCACAACACTTTTTTAAAATCAATCCACTACCTCCTGTGGCTTAACAAGAATTTTTAGATTAATGTAAAATAAGGCTTTTGAGCTGTATTCCCTTAACAGCTGTTAGGAATTAACAAGTTGCTATTCACACAGTTGAATTTCCAGAAGAGAAGAAGCATCTTCACCACCTCCATGAAGTCTAGCGTCTTTGCATAAGTATCATCAATTCGTTCAACCTAAGTTAAACTTTGCATTTGAAGGCCTCAGGAGTCTCCTGAAAAAGTGAAAGGGAAACACCTGCACCTGAGTTAAGGGTACACCTTGGGTCGGTAACTACAGGAAGACATCATGGGTCCATCTATTGATTACTTGCCATTCTACTTTCCTAAAGCTATTTCCCTTGTCTGTAAATTTTTAGTAGTCATCTGGTTGCTATGGCAATTAAATTACACCAAGCAAAATGATTTGGTTGTTCATTTCCAGATGTTAAGAAAGCAGTATGTGCACCACGGGCAAAAGGTTGAGAAGCTGCTCTGACTGTGTGCAGATGAATGAACTGCCAAATTGCATCTCTGCTGAAAGTGAAGACAGCTTACACTACAAACAGTGTTCCTGTTCTTAGAATAGCTTCTTAAATAAAGTTCCAAACATGTAGAAAGCATGCACAAAGAACCTTTAAATCCCTGCTTTCAGGATTTCTATTACATCTGGTTATGTTTTCTGACATTTGATTTCCTCTCAGGATAATCACTGGATACATTAACTCCTGTAGCCTATCCTCCTCGCTGCTGTGAGGTGATGGAAAAATAACATTTTCTGTACATTTTAAATGCACAATTGCATTTAAAATTGTAACATCAACCCAGAGAGCAAGTGACAGAATTCTCCTTCCATTATCAAATCTGTCCTGTTAGAGCTTTGTTTCACAGACACACTCCTTAACTCCACCCAGAGAAAATACCTCAGTCAGGTAGCCTAACCATAACTTTTCCTCTGGTGAGTCTTGTATTGTCTCTTTTTCCCCATTTTTTTCTTCCTTGCAGAACAGTCTGTGCACAAACCATATTTTAAGGCTTTTCTGCAAAGGTTTTCTGTGAAAATAAGCCTGCCTTTCTCGCCCCTTCTGTTGGAACAGGCTCGATCTGCCCTCCTCAGTCCCGCTAGCAATAGCTGTGTGTACTGGCATGTTTGGTTGAATCAGGACCACTCAGCCACCCACCTGAACATCCTGTTGGTTTGCATTGCTGGAGGGGATGGAATGATGCCAACATGTAAAGTCTACAAAAATCATTTTGGCTCATCTAAATGAGCACTGGGTGGGTGGCTGATGGGCTTCATTGTCGGATGTCTAGAGGGAACTGTACAAAGAAGACATGCCTCTACCATAGCTACCACCCTTTTCTTTCTAGTTTAAAGAAAAGTTGTCTTCTAAACACACAGACAAATAGTATTCAAATCTGTCATAAGTACAGTCACTCTGTGGGAAGACAACAGAAGTAGTATGCAAGAAAAGGGTGTGGGCAAACAGGGAGACCTTGATCCCATTTCTTCCTGTTAGCTTCCCAACTCGCCTGACTCTTAAATACTCTATTTTCATATACCCAGCATATACCCATCCTCAACATGAATATATTCAAATACTCCATAAATTCCTGTTAGTGGGAGACCAAGTTGGAGGGAAGAAAGGAAAACTGCTTCATGAAAGTGTCAAGTCAGGTACTATCCCTTCAGCAGCCCGAGAATATACTATTGTTTTTTAATCCACGAATAACAAGGAAGCAGCTGTACATTTCAGAGAGAGGTGAGTTTTATGAGCAGCAAAAGTAAGAAGTCTGCATGTGTAGGCACTTTTTCCATTCACTGTATTTAATCATTTACTATAAATTTAAAAAGTTCAGCTTCAGTCCAACTACAGTTCCCTTAGTACTAAGTTCTATTTCAGAAGCTTTTAAACTGCCAGAAGATCTGCTACAGAGCATTTTTTTTCCTCAGTCTTGTAAACTTTCCAGTGTGCAGAAGGAAAAAGCAAGTTTCTGTTTTCATTCTAGTTGTATTGATGTATGATAGAGAAAAGCCGCAGAAGCACATCCAACAAAAGTACACACCTTTACTAGTGCTTAGGCTGTTGCTATGTAAGAATCCAAAAACAAATGCTCCAATTTCTGGTGTTACTTACGAGCCTGGGGAAGATCATCAGCACAGCAGACTTCTCCCTCCAGCACCTCTTGGCAAGGAGACTCCCCAGTGAGAGGCTGACACCTTCAAAAGCACACAGCTCCCCTTTAATTTCCGCAGCAGCTTCTCTCCATTGTTTGCTGCACCATAAAGCAGAAGTACAGAATGCGTCCCACGTCTCCCTGTGACATGAAAGAGTAGAAAGCTCCAGGTGTTAAGACCTGTGTTCATTTCTTTACTCTGTTTCTTCAGAGGCTCCACAACGTGCTTTGTGGCCGGGCCTTGACTTTTGTCCAGACTCCCTTTCCACTGACCATTTCCATATTCTTTCTTTGACTAACACTCTGAACCAGATACTTCCCTCTTTTCTTCCAGTCTTTTGACACTTAGGCTCTTTTGTGACTTAAGACATCCCAAATCTATCTTCTTCAGAGCTATCTGCATAACACAAATCTTTCCATCCTGGACTGATTACCACTGTTCCCATCATTCTGCTGACAAAGCAGCTCTTGCAAGTGTGGTCAAATCAAGAAAGTTGGAGCTTGAATAGCTTAAAATGTGTGTCAGACTGAACTTGCTGATGTCTGAGACAAGAAAGCTGACCCAAGTGACCTTTTCCAACAATGAATCTAATGACAGAAGCTATCAGTAACCTCACTAGTAGCAATACTACTTTTGCCAGCTTCAATTGCAAAGTGGTCTGCAAAGGCACCTCTACCTGCAACCTGTCTGCATCGTCCTTTTGTCTTCCTGTGCATTCTTTTCAGAATCCTGCTTCACTACCTTTGTCCGGAGGCCTTGTTAGGTCTATTTTTGTTGTTTTCCTTTACTTGTTTTTTTTTCCCCCCACCCAACTATTTCAATTTTTTAAGCATCTTTGAAAGAGATAAATAGCTTTATAAGAGCTTTATAAGCTTGAAGCAAAATGTATATATACTGAGTACGAGAGAGTGGGTGACATGAATAGCTCCAATGATAGCTCATTAAGAGGTATGAGATGCAGACCTTTTCCCTAAAGCATGGATTCCACAAACTAAAACAGAATGTGAGTTTTTATTTTCCTAATAAGTGAGGATAGATTCTGTAGACACAGATTTCATCACATCACTGTCCATCAGTCAACGCCAGAAGTATTTATCCCAATATCTTGCACAATGTTAGGTCTAAACCTCACCTAACAACTTCCAAATCAAACCAACAGCCTCATTTAAGCCAGACCATACAATACTATCATGGAATCATCTAAGTTAGAAAAGACCTTCAGGACCACTGAGTCCAACCATCAACCTGACCTACCACATCCCACTAAACCATGTCCTTTAGTGCCACATCCACACAGCTCTTAAATACCTCCAGGGGTGGGGATCTGTCAGTTGAAGTTGATCCCAAGACCAACCTACCACTTAAAAATCTGCTTTCTGTTTAGGTTTGCTTTGTCAAACATTACCTTCTCTTAGTGGATTATAGTTTTCATTTTTATATAGTATTAAAGGGTCACATATCAAGTTTCTATTAAAGGTAGATTATCAAATAACAGCTGAATATTCTCTGCAGCAATTAAATACAGCCATTAAAGTCACATTAGGACATTTTTTTCTAGGACTGGAATTGTTTCTGTATCTGTTTTCTGAAGCTTTTCTAATATGTTTTAAAGTAATGATCTCATTAAAATCATATGCTAAAGTCCTACTGATTAATAGCCTCAACTTGTGTATCATTAACCCTTAGTTTCAGCGTCACACTGGAGGGTAACAGTCAGTCCTTTTCACTGTCACTTCATTCCAGTTTCCTGTGTCTTGCTTTGTAAATGTGACCAGCTTCACTGATAGTTTATGTGCAATCTTAACATTGCACCACATTAAAATACTGAGGTAGGTGCTCATTGTCCCTCACCTCTTTGTGCAATGGTTAGAATGTCATCTAAAATAAAAACTGTCCATACCCCCAACACAAACATCATAACAGTCCATGTAATAACCCTGAATTTCAAGCATTAGCTACCCCATCTTTGGTGTCATTTAGGCCTTGAAAGGCAGCATTTGCCTTTATTCTCCAACAGGCATAAAGAGTTAAAACAATTAACAGCTCTTTCATAACATTTTCCTGTCCCCTCCATTCAGGAACAAGACAGAGCACAGGCCAGGACTGTCCTAGAGCTCCCTGCAGGTTAGACAAACACAAACATCTGCCAGCTGTCACTTTGTTCTTCCTGCTTTTAAATTCATAAGAATAAAAAGCCCCTCTATGGTGGCAGAGTCAGATGCTGTCAATGAAGCACGTGCTCCCAGACACTTTCTGCTGTTCCTTCTTGCTCCCAAGTATCCTGGCAACTATGAGTCTGTATAATCCTTTGAATGATACCTAATGATACAACACTCTCTTTTGGAATATAGTACCAAATCCAATGTGCTTCTCTTACCAAAAAAAAAAAAAAAAAGGAACAAAATCATCCAAGTTTTGTATACCCAAAGAGAGCTAGGGACATTACATGAAAACAGTGATTTCAAGACAAAAAGCATCAGACTTTCAGTGAAAGTCTGCATGTTTCCATTACTTGCTTTTCTGTCTGACAACACAAACAATCCCTTTTCTATCTGATTTAGAAATCAGCACTCATTTCTTAATTATTTTGCTTATGTGTTGCTCCAGACAGGCCTGTGTGAAAGATCTGTGCAAGAGAGAAATAATCCACAGTTCTAGAAATAAATTTAATCCCCATATTCCTCTAAATACCAATTTACCTTATAGATGTTACTTCTAATGTGAAGTTAACCAAGACATTAATTACATTTAATTAAGAATTACGTCAGACTCTAGAGAGGATAATACTATTACTCCATCATTTTACAAATGGGGAAATCCAATTATAGCAAGAGGAGGTGTCTCTGTTAAGCCTTATCACTACTTAATGACAGAAGATGACCAGGTGTTGTTTGCATCTCCTGCTCCATTACCTAAAGCTGATTAATCCATAAAACTTCCAAAGCAAGTTGCAAATGTGTTTCCTTCCTTGGTGAAGGGGTGCCAGCAGAGGGAGAGCCATGCTTTCCAACTTGTACTAATGGTGAAGGGTAGCTGCTTAATGCTGCGAGCATCTCTTTCTGTGCTATAACTATTCATTAAAATGTTCTAGATTCTGATTTAAGTCTGTAAATCTTCTTTCATTTTCCCAAGCACCTTTTGATTTTGCTGTAAAGAATTCAGCTAGACTCAGAAACATTATTTTTAATAAAATAAATCCCCTTCTTAGGTTGTTAGTGTGCAAGGACTTAGAACAACTGAAAATCTCCTGTGATTTCTTAGATAATCCATGCATTTGTATTGTTCACTGGATCAAGGAGAGATGAAATTCCTTGGCCAAAATAACTATGTCAAATTATACATTTTTTTTCTAATAGAAGGCAGTTTTATAAAATAAAAAATAAAAAAGCAAGATTCCATTCATAAGGGAAATTCACAGAAGAACAGAACTGAATTCCCTGCTGAAGTTAACAGGTGTTTGGATTTCATCTTTTGTCTGATATAAACTCTGCAATGACAGCAGGAACAATTGCAAACTAATATAACAGTCTCTGTTTTCATGCACAACTATAGATGTGGAGGTCACAGCCTCCTAAGAAATAGAGGAGGATAATTATATTGTTGAATTGTACTGCATATGGGAAAGATTTATGCCATAATCAGAAGTGTAGCTCTTTCCAGTGGGAGAATCTAAAACAATTAGCATGGAATAAATCAGTTTTTAAATTTATTAGTCATTAATTTAATGAGTCAGAGGTTTTATTTGTTAGCTTTTTTGTTTGTTTGTTTGTTTGTTTTATGACTAATATCTTAATAACTGATAGGTGCATAATCTGGCCAAGCATCTGCTCACTTTTCTCCTGGAAACAAATGTACTTCTGCTTTTCTGATTAATGAATCAGAAAGCAAAATATGACTTATTTAGTATTCTAAAATGCATTGTAATACACTTTCATATTGCAAAACAGAAAAATAATCCAGAGATTGAGGTTTCAGGTCTTCAAGCTTTTTGGTATTGTTTTGTTTGGATGGCGGTTTTTTCGAATGCTTTTTTGACAGGAGTTTAAAAGTGCTATAATCTCTTCCTAGAGCATAAAACCATCAACATAATAATTACAAGCCTTTTCATGCATTTTACTTTTTAAAAGCTACGGAAAATCAAATATAAAAATGTTTCAAATCAAATACTAAATGTATCATTAGTAGTGCTTAAGCTCTTGAATCATTGAACTTAAAATTCTTACAAAATAATATAGTGCATGATGTAGATGTTTCAGAAAACACTAGGTGCGTAACACAACTATTACAAACGCAATTTCCTGCTTTTTCTGACTGACTGCAGAACATTTAATGTCAGCCTGAGCAGCTTTCTTACTTCCCACTTACGAACAGTTTTAGAACTGCTCTGAAGCACAGCAGCAATTGCCAGCTTTTCCAGTACACTGAAGCACACGCTTTACAAAATCCTAGAAATAAGAAAGCTAATCCAATTTGTTGGGTCTGTTTATGTGCTTATAATAATGTTGGTGTCCAGGGGAATAGCTGCTGTTGATATGTTTTCTCTCCTTTACCATGAAATCCTCCAACAGAGTCACACGGCTTGTCAAAGTGTCATGCAACCAAATGATAACTCTGTTGGAAGAGAATTCGAGCAGTAGAGGTCCAGTTAAACCATCAATGAGTGGTATGAGAACATGCTTCTATGTTCCTCATGCTGATTTTGTCCTGTTAAATTGTTTGTCCTGATAAATTATTGTTAAATGTGTAGAAAGATTTATCCCCTTTTCTGATATTTGGAAATATATTTGGTTTTGAATATTGATCTCCCTTAAAATACACTTAGAAATACTTTCCCTCAGATTGGATTAGGATCAATGAAGCACCTCAATTTGATGTTCATATGAAACCTGCCTATGAAACCTGGATCTTCTCATGTCATCTGCAACTTCTTTTGTTGTTGGGAGGAGGCATCAGATTTATTTTTTTTTTTTAGTTTGTCAATATAAGTTAGCCCTCTCTTTCTCACTGCATCTTCCCAATTCTACAGAAACACTTAATTTCTAAAGTACCAATTTATTTGTTTTGGACTTCGTAGTAACTGTGTAATTCTGTTGGATGATGGTTTCTCCCCTTCTCCCTACAACTTCAAGAGGAGCAGACTTTTTAGGTAGTCATGCCAGTTTCACCAAAAGATTTTGGTGAAAATTAAAGTTTCTTTACAGTGTTGACATTTTCTTAAACATTGTTTTCATTCAGATTGTTCCAGAAAAAAAAAAAAAAAAAAAAAAAAAAAAAAAAAAAAAAAAAAGCTTTTAAACAAATGTTGCTTTCAAAAGAAACTGAAAAGAACCATTTATTTACTTAGCAGCCTACTAAATACGTATGTGACATGTGGCTTATTTTTAGCCTTTTTCACCTAGATTCTGCACTTAAGAATCTATATCCACATTAATTGTATGCAATTTCTATAAAAATGTAATGTCATGTGCATATATTCTGAGCACACTAAAATAAGATAGTTAAGATTATTTTCCTGATTCAGAGTTGATATTGGCTTATCCGTTCTGCATTTCACATTTTGCCTTTTTTGCAAAGCCAACAGCACTGTATTTTCATCACGCTGTATCTGCCATAAATCTATGTTTTAAATAAACCCAGAATGCACTAGATTTCAGATCCAACATAATGCTTTGATTCACCCATAATAAAGCATATAAAGTAATAGTTTTTGTAATACAAAAAGCTCTGTGATTCTGAAACCTTAATACAGGAATTAAAAAATGAAAAAGAAGAGTCAATAGGCTGCAAGGGAGGAGTATTTGCTATCTACAACAAATGACAGGTGTTTCAATAAAGCATGCAAAACTTTTCCCTGGAGGTCAATAAGGAATTTGCATCCTTATGGTTATGACTTAAATGCTGTTTTAAAAAAAGGAGTCTCCCATGAGACCAACTGAAAGAGAAAGAGAGAAAGCCATCTCTGGTTTATCTTATGATATAAGCTAAAATAGGTTTGTATTTATGATAGAACAGGCCTGTTGAATTCTATGTGTGTTTTTTTTTGTTGTTTTTGTTTTTTGTTTTGTTTTGGTTTGGTTTGTTTTGTTTTTTTTGGTCATTGTTCCCAAAAGGCAATATTGTAACTGCAAGTACAGTTTGCAAATAAAAATTATTACTACTACCTGCATGTCTTCTTTCACTATCTTGCATAATTGTATGTGCTTGCTTGGAAGTCTCAGAGCAGGATCTGCAATCCATAACACGAAGCAATCTGGGGAGAAAAACGTACGTAGTTTCTAACAAAATCTGCCAGATTTAGAGTAATATCTTCCTGATGTGGAATCACCAGAACATCTGCAGATAAGTTTTTAATTATTACTTACTACTCCACTTCTCTTCTACATAATTGATAGATTTCTTTTCATTTCCCATGTCTTCGGTAGTTCTTAGTCTATTCCCCCTCCACACACACACCCCCCCCAATGAACAATTTTCTCAAAAAACTACTCATGTAAATGCGTACAATTACTGTTTGTTCCACAGTAGCAGTGTAGAAAGCAGGAAGGTGCCCACATGGTCAGACAGCCCACTGCCAGGTTACCTGGTGGGGTGGTCATGTTGACAGCAAGTGCTCCAGCCTGGAAATGACACAAGTTTTAAAGAGGGGAAATAATCTCTGTTGCATTTTCACCATCTCTGGTCCCAGTTTCTGTCAACCAAAAGAACATTTTTCATCACAAACCCTGAAGAAAGAGCCAGAAAGGTCCGGACATCAGTTACCATACAGATTTCCCTTTTCTGCTCAGAGAAGCAAGCTAAACAAAAACAAGCTTTTTCTGGATCACTGGGGCCATTACCAGAACTGCTCACAGCATCAGCATCAGCTTTACAAGAGCGCAGGGACAACAGTTTATGTGCCAACAACCAAACCTCAACACAGCTCAACATGGGCAAGAAACCCGAGGAAATTCTTTGTGTCTGGCTAAGTAGGGCATCAGTACATCTTTTGGCTGTCCCAAAGCAGAAGGGGTAGTTTTGCAGGGTGGGGAGCGTTACAGGACCACACAGTAACAAATTCAGCTGCTGATTTTGTGCGTTGCACACAACATCCTTTGTTTCTCAAGGCAGTGACGGGTTTTCATTTTGAGCAATTCTACATATGAAGAAAGGGGGAAGGCCTGTTCTGAGAAACAGAAGATAAAAACATCAACATCAGTAACACTGGTTTTTAAGTTGCTACACAGCAATGTTTGTGTTTTTGCACTACAATCTAAACATCAACGCATGGGAATAGCAACATTACTAGAAAAGCATCTCCTTCAAAAACATCAGGGCTCCTCAGAGCCTGAGAAAGAGGACCTCCATTTTATCTTGTCTAGCAGCTTACAGTAGAGACAAATATCAGTGCTGCAGTGCAAAAACTGGAACACCTGCATACTCATCTCCACGCTCAGTGTTGTAAACAAGGCAGAAAAAAACATATTCAGCTCTTCACTTCACTGTAGACATCCTACGTGACCTCAGACAAGCCCCTTTATTCCAGATGACAGCAGCAGCCACCTTCTAGCCTCCATCACCCTCAAGGCCAGGTGAGAAGGGTCATGCTGTGCTCACAAGCTATGCTGACAAGAGGCAGGTATTCCCTTCTTGCAGAGGCAGTGAAGAATGGTCCACCCCAGTGGATCCTACATGGTTATGTCCTCCAGAGGACTAGCAGCACCAAAAATGATGTCGTCATTGAACCAGTGATGGCATTTTGGCTGTTCTGATGTGCTTCCAACCATGAATTAATTGACTCATGCCTGGGGCTTGTATCCGAACTCTAGATGCTAGGACTCCATGAAGGAAACTCGGATCAAAACCACTCCCTTTGCTATTTAACTGGGTGCCACAGTCCCACCACTTCCCTGAGGGCTTGGAGACCTCCGCCACCGCGGGGACGTCACCCACCCGCAGGCAGGCCTGCCACACTGGGCACCTGATCACGAAGGGGGAGCTAAACAAAATGGTGGTCTCTGGTTGGGTTTCATCATTTAGTAGTTGGGTCTCCCCTGCCTCCCAGATGCCAAGGCACCTCAGAGCTCTTACATGCAGGGGAAACGCCGCTTCCAGTTTGTTTTCAGTTCTCATCTACTAATTTTCCTCACATTGAAACACAAGATCCACCTCTCTGCTCCCTGTGAGGAGGGATTTTTAAAGCCTGCAAGGGCTCAGTCTGACAAAAAAAAAAAAAAAAAAAGGGAGAAAAATGAGGAAGATTCTTGTTGGATGAAGGGTCAGATATGGTACTTTGTCTTGTAGACAAAGTAAAGTGCTTGCCTTGTGGCTCTATGACCCATTGCATACACTTTCCTCTTTATATGCTCGTACATCAAAAAAAATATGAAACAATAGCAAGGAAAAGAAAT